CAAATGATATATTTTAAAGATCATATTATGATAATACAGAGTCCTTGACTTTCACATAAAATTGGTTTGGAATTATGACAATCTTGGAAACGGTGTTTTACAGCCCCTGAAATCCTTCCAGCTGTCACAAAATGTTGCATTACCTCTCCTGCAGTGTTGGGATCGTGATCTGGGTGTTAGCAATCTGTTTCCATTTGCAAAAGCCCTGCAATCATGTGATTGCTATCTACAATATTTTCTGCCCACTTTCCTGCAAAGATGATCAGAAAGCAGGCAGAGAAAGAACGTTGGTCTTACCTGAACATCTGTTCTCTGTAGCGTAGGTGGGAGGGACTACAGCCGGATTTGTGACAGCCTGATTGGTCTAAAGACTGAGGGATTTTTCTTTATCATCTCCTCCTTTCCCTCCTGGCCCGAGTTTCACGAGGTCGAATGGATATCTGATCACTTTATGTAAGGAAATGAATACTCCAAAGAAACAATGGAACATATAGAAAAAAACAAAAAGACACTGCACAGGACTGACCACCCCGACCCCTGCCTAACTATCTAGGGTGGGAATGTAGTCCCTCCCACCTACGCTACAGAGAACAGACGTTCAGGTAAGACCAACGTTCTTTCTCCTGTAACTCTGGTGGGAGGAACTACAGCCGGGACATACCCAAGCTAGGTCCCTGGGCAGGAAGAAGATCCTGGGGGAGGGGAGGTCGCCACCTGCTGAAGTACTCTGCAGCCAAAGGCCGCATCTGCAGATTTGAACCGGTCAAACCGGTAGTTGTGAATAAAGGGGGAGGGAGAGGCCTAGGTGGCCACCTGACAGATATCTTCCAGAGGGGCCCTGGTGGCCCAGGCAGCTGTGGTGGCTGCACACCTGGTGGAGTGGGCTGTGATGCCGTGAGGAGGCACCTATTGACTGGCCTGGTAAGCCTCCTTGAGGCCTGCCTCACCCACCTGCCAATGGTGGCTGAGGTCACCCTAGCCCCCAATGACTTCTCCTGAAAGGATAGAAATAGGGCCTCTGACCATCTAAAGGGAGCCGTGCGCCTAATATAGATGCGTAGGGTGCGGCGCACGTCTAAACGATGCCAGAGGACCTCCCTCTCATGGGTAGGAGAGGGACAGAAATTGAGAGGGACAACTTCCTGGGATCTGTGGAAAAAGGTATTCACCTTCGGGAGGATGATGGGGTCAAGCCTCAGGACCACCCTGTCCGGATAGAATTGACGCAGATCCTCCTTGGACAAGAGGGCGCTCAATTGGGAAATGCGTCTGGCGGCATAACCACCACCAGGAATATGAACTTCAAGATGAGAAACCTAAGATGGACCGTCCTCAGAGGTTCAAAGGGAGCGCCCGTGAGGGCCCTCAGTACTAGGGAGGGGAACCTATGCACCATGGGGGGCAAAGGTTAGCAGCCCCCTCTTAGAAACCGCTTGACCAGTGGCGCCTGTGCTAACGAACCGGACCCCACCCCTGCTAGTACCAAGGAAAGGGCAGCTGTTTGTCTCCGCAGTGTATTGTGAGGCAGCCCACAGTCAAGGCCTTGTTGCAAAAAGTCAAACACATCCGTAACTGAGGCTGATGTCGGAGAGATCTGGATCTGCTCGCACCAGACATGAGCGCCAACCACGTCGAGTTGTAGATTCGAGTGGTGGGAGGGACGTCTGGCTGCCTCAATGGTGGAAATGACTTTGCCTGAGAGGTTTGCTTCCCTCAGCAGGAGCCGCTCAAGTGCCAGGCGATCAGCTGGAGCCACTGGGGCTCCGGATGGATTAGAGCCCCCTGGCACAAGGAGATCTCCTCCTGGGGAATTCTCTATGGGGGAGATAGGGATAGCTGGATTAGATCAGCAAACCAGGGCCGTCACGGCCAATAAGGAACTACCAGAATAGGGCCCTCGCTAGCACTATCTTTCTCAGGGTCCCCTGGATCAGAGGGATGGGAGGAAAGGAATAGAGAAGACCGAAGAGCGTCCATCCCCTCGGCATTGCGTGCTGGGAAGCGGGAGTAAAAGCGGGAAAGCTGGGCGTTGCTCGGGCTGGTGAACAAGTCCACCTGTGGAGAACCAAAGCGAAGGTAGATTGCTGGGTCCAGCTGCCATTTGCCATGGTCCACTGTGGCTTGGCTCAGCCAGTCCGCTTGATGATTTGACAAGCCCGAGATGTATTCCGAGAGGATAGATGGCAAGATTCCTCTCCACCCATAGTCCCAGTCTGTGTGCCTCCAACCATAAGCCCCTGTCGATTTATGTGGGCCTTGGCTACCACGTTGTCCGTCAATAAGAGAACATGTCTGTTGTGGATGGAATCCCTGAAATTAAGTAGGGCTAGGCGGGCCGCCTTCAACTCCAGCCAGTTTATGTTGTGGCACAGGTCGGACTGTGACCAACGACCCTGCGCCAGGCTGGACCCCATTACCGTCCCCTAGCCGGAGGCTGGCGTTCGTTGTGATGGAGACGTGGTTCGGCTCCCAGAACTCGGTCCCCCGGTTCAAGGATGGGGATAACCACCACTTTAGGGACCAGCAGAGCTCTAGAGAGAGATGGATGAGAAGTGGGGAATTGCTCATGCGTTGGCGTTGGTACGGTATGAGCGCCCACTGAAATATCCTGGAATGCAGTCGGGACCACAGGATGATCCCTATGCAGGACACCATCTTCCCCAGGAGTTGTGCTAACATCAAGATGGAAGCTGACCGACTTGCGAGGACGTGCCGTAGACTTGAAAGCCGTTCTGGGGACAGGCGCACCAGTCCCGAGGTGGAGTCTATCACCGTGCCCAAGTGCAAAATCCTCGTTGAGGGGGAGAGGTGGCTCTTGGGAAAGTTGATGGAGAACCCCATGGACTACAACGTTCTGATGGTGTACTGGAGGTCCGAAACTGCCTGAATACGGGTTTGGGCTAGGACGAGCATGTCGTCCAGGTAGCAATGGAGCCTCACCGGACGAGATCACAGGTGAGCCATCAAAGCCGCCAGGACTTTTGTAAACGTACGGGGAGCTGAGGCTAGACCAAAGGAAAGGGCCCTGTATTGGAAGTGCCACACACACACACACCCCGTGTGAGAATAGTAGAAATTTTCGATGGGATTGCCGAATTGGTATGTGGAGATATGCCTCTGAAAGGTCTATGGACCCCATGAAGTCCCCCTGCCGGATCCCCAGCAGAATGGACTTCAGGGACAACATCTTGAAACGCCTGTACACCAAGGAGTTCAGGCGTTTCAAGTCCAGGATTGCTCTCCATCTCCCGGAGCTCTTTGGAACCACGAATAGGTTTGAGTAGACCCCTAGTCCCCGTTCCTCCTCGGGAACCGGCTCTACCACCCGGATGTCCAGCAGATGTTGGATTGCTAGGAGCATCATCCGTCTCCGTTCCGGGTCCCTGGAAGGAGGGTATGTTCGAAAGAGCATCGGGGGAGGGGAGAGGAACTCCAGCCGGAGTCCTTCCCTGATTGTCGACCTGACCCAGGCATCTGAGGTTACCTGGTCCCACTGGTCCGCAAAGAGGGATAGGCAGCCACCTATGGGAAGGCTCGGGTTCGAGTCACTTTCCTCTGCGGAAGGGGCATCCCCACACACACACAAAAGGGCCTCTTGGACTGTGGTTGGTATCTATTCCTGTCCTGATAAAAAGGCCATTGGTTCTGCCTATCGTATCTATATGGCATATACCTGTGCTGACGGTAGTCCTGGTCAGGACCCCTAAATGAGGAGGAAGTCCTGCGGAAAGAAGATGAAGAACGGTTATCCGTCTTTTTATTATTAGAGGGAAGGACCTTCTTTTTATCCCTATTCTCTACTATGAGTGGATCGAGGGACGCCCCGAACAGATTGGGGTCCGAGAAGGGAGCTGCCGCTAGATTCCATTTGGACTTATTGTCCATTTGCCAGTTGCGAAGCCATAGAAGCCTCCTGGCCGTCACAGAAGATGACACGGCTCTGGACGCAAACTTAATAGAATCTAGGGTAGCGTCAGCGGAGAATTGGGTGGCAGATATAATTTTTGTGAGGTCTTGATGGAGACGCTCATCCTGAATCGGGATCCGGTCTTGTAGCTGGCGGAGCCACATAACCGTTGTACAATTGAAGTACGACGCTGCCGCGGCCGCTTTAATAACCCAGGCAGATGCGGTGAAGTTTTTGCGTAAAGTGAACTCCGCCCGCTTGTCTTCTGGTTTTAATTTATCTGCCACATCTCCAGAAACCACAGTGGAGGCATTGGCCAGTAAGGCTACAGGAGCATCTACTGTAGGAAGTTGTAAGGCTTTAGCAAAGGCCTGCTCCATGTTATAATACCGTTTGTCATTCCCCCCAGGGTTGGGCAGAGAAGATGGTTTTTCCCACTGATTTTGCACA